ACACGAGATGCTAAGTTCCAACAGAAAGCCATAAAGAAGGCGGAAGAAATTGGGCAAGGTGAGAAAATTCTGGCGCCAAAGTATCCCACGGAAGAGAAGCGCTTCAAGAAAGCACAAGCCGATGAAAAAGTCAAAGAGGTACCTTTAATCGCTTATGAACTATTTGCTTTACTTTTGTTAACCTTGGATGAAAAAATATCTGTTGGCTTGGTATATGTACAAAGACCTGCTGGATCGGTATATGTACAACGTTTTTTTTTAGCTCGTCAATAAAATGGACCCGACTCTTATTGAAAATGTAAATAAAATCAATATCAAGTCAACGGAGCCGGCTGAGCGGTGGACATCAACAAAGTGAGTTCAGATTCAATAAACCTGTTTTTTCGTGTTTTTTTGAAAGACGGAGCAGTTTTGTTTTTCGTTGTTCTCTTGTGGTTTTTTATTTTGATGAATAATTCCCTTCATCACTTGCTAAATTTATCTTATGTGGAGTATTCGAAGTGGTTCGCTCACACGCAGAGCGACTTTTGCGCTTTTCGTGGCGCGGAACTCTCCCCGCTGCGAGAACCTCAGGTCCGCCTTAAACAGTGGAGTTCCCGCAGCAAAAAATGTTTCGCACTGCGAAGAGTGGAAAAGTCGCCTCCTGTTCAGTGTGCCGGAACACTCAGTACCCCATGACTGAGAAAACGTTAATCAGATTTAATGATTAAATCTATCTCAATTCTATAAGAAAAACTTTTCCTAACCTGTCGTATTTGTCTCTCATATCAAGATAGTTATAATTTTTTGAAAAACGCAAAAGCCTTTAGCACCGTATGCATACGCAGTAGAAGACACCAGCGAGTGGCTAACACAGAAAGTGAGGTTTCGCACAGTTTCCCTAGCTTTTTCCAAGTTCCCCTTAACTATCCTTTTATTCGTCAATTTCTTGATTCATATGGCCCGATGTCAATTTTGCGAATCCAGCAGTTCGCTAGTAGCAAATCTACGGAATCGCTCTAGCGAATCGCTGGATTGGCGAAGTCTGACAAGCGCTGATAATGAAATGGTCTTTATCGAATTAGCGATAAAGTAGCAGAAATTTGGGAAATAAGCCTCTGGTTCAATTTCTCAAGTGGATCTGTTTTTATTTTATCCCAGTTTTAATCCTTGAAAAACGAGCTGTTGCAATGTCCAGTGTTTAGCTGAAATGATTGAAAAGAAGTGTGCGAACTGGTCACACAAGTTCCTTTATTTCATTTTCGAACATTCAGATTTTACAGAGATTGCGTTATTTTTAATATTTAACATTGATTGAATCGCCTGATGCAGAGATTTACCAACTCACGAATCTGAGTGGATGCACCGCAACGACCCCGTCTGGGAATATGGTTTCTACGAACCGGAAGAGGATAAAATACCGAAGAACAAATTGATGTTTCGGGAGGCGCTTGAAGTGAGATTTGCTTTCGTTCACAGCTCATATCTCGACTTCTGATTGCGCGTGTCACCCGAAGTACGCTCACCAGCCTCTTCTCGTCCTAAATATACCCTTCCCTGTCCCTTCCCCAACATTCAGCATACGGCCTCCAGTCAAAGCGTGTGAAGCAGCTTATGGGCCGGACGCATAGTCGGTCGGACGACAGCAACGACCGCAAGTGTCGCATAAACCGCGGTTGCAAATGGAAGGCGACGCGGTCACCCAATGCTAACCCAGACAACACGTGACTGCGCGTGATCGTATTTCGAAAGTCCCACTGTAGTGTGGAATAGTAGCTGCGTATTGATCTACGACACTTACCGCGTCGCCTTCCATTTGCAACCGCGGTTTATGCGACACTTGCGGTCGTTGCTGTCGTCCGACAGCAGCGGTCGTAAGTGTCGCAGGTGTCGCAGATCGATACGCACCCAATGCTGTGCGACACTTGCGATCGTTGCTGTCGTCCGACCGACTATGCGTCCGGCCATGACGCGCAACTTCTTATCGAGTGCGGTGGCTGCCACTTCTCCGGTGACACGCCCAATCAGACTTGGAGATGTGGACAGTATCTGATCCCGTTAGAAATTCCAGATTTATTAAAGGTTTTACGAGCACGACAAGGATTTGAGAATGTAGTCAATCTTCGGATCCAGCATCAGCAGCGAATTTGAGGTTGGTTAGCTCGGATATTTGTTAGACTCGGCGATTGTGCAGAGTATGAGCGATCGCGCTCGCCCATCGCTCGGCACAATCGCCGAGTCTGGCGGACATCTCATGTTTCCTCAAAAAGCATGGTAATTTCAGACCCAAGCTTTATTTCAGAGAACAAGCACGTAAAGCTTATCAAGAGCATAAAGCTGTAGCCAGAGTTGATCAAAGAGAAACTAGAAGAAATGTGGGAGTATTTCCGACCTTTTGTGAGGAAGGATTATCAGAAGGTTAGATTTCATGTTCCCATATTGACTTGTTTTCTTCTTCCATCACAGAAATTCGAAGACAGCAACGTGCGCAGCGCTACGTTCGTGAGAAGAGCACAAAAGCCGCTGGCCGCATGTATTGCCCACATCTTGCTCCACATATAAATGATAAGTTCTCGCATCAGTTGTTGAAGAGCAGCTGTCATACCATTCAAACGCTAATGGATATACGCGATATCGAACATGTTTATCTAGTGGTAATCAGTGTTGCAGTAGAGGTGGTAGAGTGAGAAATGGCCTTGTTTGCACCCGTTTACCACTTGCATGCATGGGGGTCCAATTGACACGCATCACATCTCGTTCAGCACTGCTTCTCCGATCTGTGCGAGGTAGGTTTAGGAGTACCTGGACAAAAGCCTAAATCTTGATCTGCATTGAGCGGTCAGATTAACATTCCATACAGAATCGTTTTGTTTGAGTGCAAGTTGGCCAAGCCACTGCTTTATTTTCTTGTCTTTTGTCAAGGTTCTGTTCAAGAAATGATATCTGTCTCAAGTTTTTAATATTTGCAGGTTGTGCCCAAACGCGAGCTTGCGCAACTGCAAGAATATTTGCAAGGTAGATCTGATGAGACGACATTATTGGGAGGGACAAGGGATGGTGTTCGCAAACTTATTCAACGAAACAAGGATGCTCTCGAGCATTATGATAAGGTATATGTTTCAAGTTCGAACAAAGGGAATACCGTTTCTAAAATGTCTATTTAGTTGGAAAAGCCTGAACAGAAGCAGCTTGAAGAAGCCATTATTGAGCAACGAAAGATGGAGAAAGAGCGCTTAGCCACCCGATTAAAGGATATCGAATTTGTGGGTTGTTTATCTTTTGCGTCACAAAAACCCTCTCCAATTTATTTCGACGTTATATACAGCAGAATGCAGCTTTTTTCCTAGAAAATTCTTTCCTTGCGCACTTCTATATTTATTTCTCCGTTTGACGTTTATGTAGTTCTAGAGGTTAGTGTCTCGCATGTGAACTCAGCTAATACAGCATTAAGTACAAAAAAAGTCTGCTGAAATAAAGAAATGCAAAATCAGACTTCTCCTTTGCTCTCAGTTATGAAGATGCTGAGTTTTCCAGATGGAGGAGCAAAGCAAGAAGTTACTAGAAGAAGCAAAGAAAAAAGCAGCAGAAGCTAAAGAGATTAAATGAATGATCAATAATGTTCTTTCTTTAGCTGATTAGATGTAATTAAGGTGTAGCTAGGTAGATTGAGATTATTTTGTTATGTTCTAGGATTGTTTCAAATTGCTAGGCTTGATGCAGTCATTCTTTGTGTACGGGTTTATTGTACTAGCTCTTTATAAATGTTAAGATCTGTTGTTGTTTGGAGAGGCAGTGTTGGTATTTTCCCTCGTAAATATGCTAAATATAAATGCTGTGTTGTTACTGTTAGTGGAAGTTCGAGAAAACAATCCTTCCGATGCATCTGAACATAGGATACGTTGTGGACCTATTTGAATATGAATCGTCTTCGAGTTGCTGTTGGAATATCAGGTGGAGTTGATAGCGCAGTAGCAGCATGGCTTCTAAAAAAGAAGGGCTTCGACGTCGTTGGTGTTTATATGGTACGATTTCGTAGATATTTTCGTATGATTCGGAAAAAATAATTGCTTTAGTGTCCCTGGTGTTGGGTATGGACGTTAGCCTAACGCGCGACGTCGCTTCGAAGTAACAGTGGTAGCAGGGTTTCCACCGGAAGTGTGACCAAACAAAAACTCACACCTTGAAGCCGCTAGAAGGACAGCGGAACGGCTTTGGAGTGGGCGTGATTGAATCAGCCAGGGATTGCACAAGGCCGATTGCTAATCCCGCCCACTTTGGAAGCTGCTTCTACTAGCGCTTTCCAATGGGTTTTGTTTAGTCACACTTCTTATGTTACTGACTAGGACTAAAGGCATTGTTCCACACAATTATTTTCGAAGGATAAAAACCCTGCTGGGACTGTTGCTTTACGCGATCATTTGCAGGGTCGCGACTTAAATCCTCTGCGGATTGGGTGCTGTAGTAACCATCCATAGCAAAATTACTCTGTTCTTACATGAACTGGGACAAATGCTTCAAGCATTTGATAGGGTAAACAACATACGATTCGATAAAGGCAACGAGGCAAACGTTAACCAAAAGGACTACTTAAGGTGAAATTCTCGAATCCAGCGAACGCGGGGCACGAGGGGTGCCCACGGTCTGAATCGATGTAAACTGCTGCCGATAGTGCGTAAGTGCGAAAATCCCTCATCATCGCACGTAAACTCCGTCACTTTCTCAGCTCCACGACGGTCATAAGGTCGGAAAAAGTGTCGATAGTCACTTTGTCGCCAAGAACGTTCTCATCCCATGCCGCGCACTTGTTCGATCGGCGCGACGTTAAAGCCGTTGACGCATCGTTTGAACCGCTGACGCATTGCTCCTACCCTGTAATTCGCTAAGACCGACGTCATAGTCGGCGACGGACCAAGCGGAAAATGGAGTGATCGCGATCGCTCCATTGCTTGGTCCGTCGCCGACTATGACGTCGGTCTAAATACGAAAAAGCGGACATCTGCTGAGCGACAGGCTCTTGGCGCGATTCTGCGAACGAGAAATGGTCAATTCAATAGTCAGAAAAGAGGTGGCGGTTCCGCAGTGACTTATGATGACTTACACCTTATGGTTGGCTTTACCGAAGAATTTCATGGTTTGAATTTGGGTCCAGACTAATAGGGGAAGCCCATACCCTACGTATTCGTCTGCTGCTATATTTCCGCTGAGCGCGGCAGTCCGTTAAAGCGACATCCCTTCCACTCTCCTGCGCCTTCGGCCCGACGCAATCCCTCGCCCGGAGCACCCAACAGGAGACCCGTCGCGCTGCGAGAAGATGGAAACACGACGGATCAGCGAACGTCGCAGCGTGATTTGTGCAGTGTGGGATGTACCCACGCGCTGCGACTCGTCCGCACCCGTCTGCGTCTCTGCCTCCTCGCCGCGCGACGAGCCCTCTGTCGGGTACCCCTCGCCCGTCCCAAATCTACTGGTTTTCATTCGCACAGAATGCCCCCCTTCGGTTGCCGCGCGACTTCTGGACGCGCGTTACGCGATAAATTTACGCGTCTCTGCGGCTGAACTAACAATGCACACCTGAATAAACGGGGTGAACCTGAGATTTGAGAGAGTCCAGAATGTATGCCAGCATTTGTTCAAGTATCTCTACTATAGCACAATATTCCCATGCCAAATCTTAACTTCATTCGAATGACTATTTGGAACCGAGAGCTTCTTTTATAGATCAATTGGGATCCTGTCGAAGAAGGATCTGCCACGTGCCCGCGAACGAAGGATGAAGCGGATGCTCGACATGTATGCGAGAAGATTAACATTCCCTTCAGTACGGTCAATTTTGTCAAGGAATACTGGAATGACGTATTTGTGTAAGTACTCATTTGCGTGGTTAAAAGACCCGAAATAGTCGACTGTAGTGCTCGTCATACGCAACAACTGCGTGTGCAGTCGTGGAGTGACTAGGCTTACAGAGTTCCTTTCTCCAATACCTCAGAGTTGATCGGTTCTCTGTTCGTTCCCTAATACTCATCAACTACTGGAATTGCAGTTCCAGTTACAGATGAAGTGGTGCTGCAACTACAGAACTCATATTAAATGTTTAGAACTATGTTGGAGAACTATCGCCGTGGACGGACCGTTGGTGCCTGATATCGCTTGCAACAGACATTACTCTGAAAAAGATAAACAAAAGGTACTTATGCCACCCTTGGGAATACTGCAGTAGGAAACACCTCGGGCTTTTCAGCAATTTCATGAAGGTCCTGTTCTCGTGCGATTCGACGGACATCCGTTTTCGTGAGTGATCCAAGCGGGAACAAGGCTCGTTTTAGTTGTTCCTGATTCAAGGTGCTCAGAAAATACGTCTGATCTTTCAGTGGATCAATTCCGCATAGGAGTTTTATTTTACCTTAATATTGCTTTAAACGAGCTGCAGCATTATGTTTTGTGTATTCGTTTATCTAACCTGGTTCTGATTCGCGTTTTTCCTGAAAGTCTCCGTATGATGTGCTCGCATAGTGCCCAGTTGCAACAAGATCAGCTCCGAGTTCATCAATTGCATGACGGTGTAGGCGATCAAATTTAATATGTCTGTTGCAAGGGATATTAGGCACAACGGTCCGTCCACGGCGATAGTTCTCCAACATAGTTCTAAACATTTAATATGAGTTTTGTAGTTGCAGCACCACTTCATCTGTAACTGGAACTGCAATTCCAGTAGGTAATGAGTATTAGGGAACGAACAGAGAACCG